TGCTTGACCCTGCAAAGGGACAGGCTGCCCCTTCTCAGAGCTGGGACCCAATTTCCAGCACCCTGTCTCTCTTCCACCCCCAACAGCAGCGTGCTCCTGCCTAACCTGCCACCTAATGTGTAGGGATGCCTTAAAATGGCCCAGGTCTTTCCTCCAGGACCGGCACCAAAAGTCCCTACAAGCAGCTACTTCCCAGCTGCTCCAGCCTACATCCACACCTGTGAGCTCAGCCCTCTTCTCTCACCCTTCCCAAAGCCTTCAAGGGAGCAGTTAATTCAACTGGAGCACAGACATCCACCACACCACATCCAGCTCCACACCCCTCATATACCAAGTGGAAGGAGTCCTCCTGCCTCTGCTTGGCCAGGAGTAGCCAGTGGCAAAGGCAAGCACAGCAGAGCCCAAAGGGAGGCAGCCTGGGCTGAGGGACAGGGGTATGGGAGATGCTTTCTGCCTCTGTGGGGAGGGAGCCCCACCAGCTGGACCCTGCATCTAGGCTGGCCCACAGCATCAACATCCTTTTGGACTGCTGGATGCTACTGGGTGCCCAAGCAGCAAAAGATATCCACATCCATCTGTGCCTAGGCAGCCAGCTTCTGCTACAGCAGTCAGTCTTTGCTCTCAAAAAGGTTGTGGGAAATGGGGGTTTAAAAACCACTATGACTGTGTGTGGAATGGTGGCTAGTCCTTCATCGGCTTTCCACGGGGCAGCACTGCCACAAGTGACAAATCACAGCCTTGTTCTGTGGTGTTGACCTGGGAATCAAGCACTGGACTCTAAGCCACAAACAGCCTCCACTTCCCATAGGCTCACAGGACACGGTTCCCCTCATCACATGCTGTGCTGAGCCTGCTCCAATCTGGAACAATTGCTCCTTCATGTGTGTGACTTAATTTTATCTCTAACTAAGAGAAAGGAAGATTTGAAACTCCTAATGGTCCTGGAAAATGAAGATCTTTTTCTTATTTTATTTTTACTTTTTTAATCTAAGGACAGGGTTTTCTTTTCCATGAGCTGCTTCTTTCTAAAAGAATTTTTATTCCAATTATTCAGACACCTGCTGGTGTCCCAGCAGACCCCTGGCAGCAGGGAACCCTCTCGGGCTGAGCAGCCGAAGGAAACAAAGCCCAGAACAATGTTGTACAGGGAAACAGTACACACACCAGCAAGCCAGAGAGCACAGCAGCAAATGTGTTATTAGTCTGACATCACAAGGGCCTGCTTGTTTGTTTGCTTTACGCTTTTAAATCCCGGCGCTCTCCCTTGCCGTGCCACATGTTGAATTTTTCTTGATTAAGTTGAGACTTTTATTATGCAGTGTCCCCAGAAGAATTACAGAGGGGAAGGAGAAAACCCAACTGCATATGGCAAAGGCAGTGAGATAGATACTGAATTCCTCCAGCTTGAAATGACAGGCAGTACAAATAAAGCTCCTTTGTAGCTGTTTTAAGATGTAGCATGTACCAGTCCATTTCAACAAATATACCTTGGGAAAAGCCAAAAGCAGGATCAGAGATGCACAGTGAGGGAAATTTTAAAGCTGCCAGTGCAAGTTTCATCAATATGTTTGTGCAGTAGTGAACACTGTCAATTTTGACTGTGTGGCAGTAGCAGTAGTAGTAACAATAATAAAAATAATAAATTTCTTAATTGTTTGTTACTTTTGTTATTATTTTAGGCCTCTCTAAGTCTTGAACTGTAAAAACAACATTAGCCACAAAAACCATCCAACTCCTCTCAGCTATGAAGTATGAAGTACGCAATGAATGAGATTGGCCCTCGTGGCCAGACCATTTGGACTACATCTTTCAGCCTCAATTCCCTCCTTCCAGTGAGGGCTGTGTTTTGCAAGAGATACACCAGCACCAAAGCCAGTATGGCAGGACCTCCTCACTTGGAAATAGGCTTCAAGCAGACCTGAAAACTCTGTTGAAGTTTGCATTATGGTGCCAGAGCAGCACAAAACAGCTCTAGCATCTGGCCTCAGGGGCTCAATCAGTTCTGTATGAATACTTATATGATGCAGTTATCATCAGCAAAGCCCATAGCTAAGCGCCTTGCTACCAAGTCTCATGGCTTTGATATAAGGAGCTCCCAGTAATCTGGGACACTACAATTAACATATTTAATAGAGCGACTAATGGGAAAGGAAAAGGGGGGAAACCTGCAAACCAGTTTTTGCTGATGACAGGGTGGGAAAGGAACAAAACCCAGAAGTTTCAAACTACGAAAAAGGCACACAGTGACTAGTTAGTTTCTCCCTTTTATTCTCCACAGTGCAAGGGAAAAAAAAAAAATAATCACAGAAATTAATTAATAGCCAGTAATCCCAGACAGACTGGTTTATCTTTTCCAAGGTAATGTACAAGATTTAAACACTTATTTTGGGACATTTTGACAAGCCTGCTCATCAAAAGGCAGATGATCTGCTCTTTATGAACACCAAACCCTTCCAAAATGTCTCACATACTGGCACACAAAATGTACAGACTTATTTTTAAAATATACTTCTGTTCCCTACCTGCAGGAGATCACAAACTATGCAGGTGGATTATTAAAAGTGTTGGGCAACAACTAAAGGTTCAATAAAGTAATCTGTAGTTGTTCCAGGTAAGAAAATTGCAACTGAATTAATCTAGTTTATAAACAGGATATAAACAAAAGTAGAATCCCTTATTTAAGAACAGACAATGTTATTACAATTATGATAAATAAAATACAGCTCTTCTGGACAGCTAGGGACTTAGTGCACTGATCTAGCTTGGGACACAAGATCAGCTTCAGCTGGCTTGGAGAAGCAGCCAGAAGCAGCAGTTCATCTGATCAATGGCCAGGTAATAATAATGTATTACATACCATATTGCTGAGTTATAGTTATGCAGAGCTGTAACAATTGCCAGACCAAAACTCTAGCAAGATAGCTGGGTGACTAAATACATATTTATCTTTTACAGTGTCTTTTACATGGTTATTTAATTATCTCCAAACCAAGTATTCTAAACTGAAGAAATAGTTTCTAATTATATTCAAATGGGTGCCTAAATAACCTTAGTTCTGCCTCGGGTTTTCTGTATGTAGTATACCATGTAGCACATTCATTTCATATGGTTATTATAGCCAGTAAACATAAAATGATTACAGGGTCACTGTAGCGACTATGGTGCCATATTAGATAAAATGACTTTGAGCAAGGTCTTCCAGCTTTCCAGTATCAAGTCTTCATTATATCCTCACTGGAGAGTGAAGGCCAGCTGTCCTTAGAGAAGAGGTTAAGTCACGTTCAAATGACAAAGAAAAGTAGAGGTATTTTTTGTGCTTCAAGCACTCTGGAGTTTTATTCCTTCTAGAAACAATAGCGGAGGGAAGCAAAGTTGAGAGATGGCAAGTGTTTAAGGAATTTCTTCCAGCAGAACATGATTTTTCAGTGCTGGCAAGAAGCTATATTTGGCAAATAATGACCCTAAGTGGAAGTTGATCATATTTCTTTAACAATGTAACCTACAGACAAGAGGTTTTTCCATCGTTAAAATAGGTCCAACTTTAGGTGCTTACAGAATCTGTTCATAATCAAGCTAGTTAATGGATTTAATTGTAAACTTGGACAATATATGAACTATTTATAGGGTATGGGTAGCACTCATCTGAGCTCATTTGGGTGCTCTAAGGAGTCAGGTACTTGGGGCAGCTGGGCATCTGGACTCCCTCATGGAGGACAGAAAAAGCAGCTCAGCAGCAGGGAGCTGATTTATTGGACCGGGTAGAGCTCCTGCTCTCCAGACATGACCATTGTCCATACGCTCACCTGTTTTTTTAGAAACATTAGATGGTTCTAAAGTATTAAAAGTGGATTATGGTATTTCCAATCCCTTGGGAGTAGTGCTGGCTAGAAACTTTTCAGCCCCACCCACACCACCCCTGCTCATCTCTGTCCCCTCCAATCCCCAAGAAGGTTTGGTTATCCCTCTCCTTTGCACCAACTCAGATAACTCAGAGATATAAAATGATTTGGTTCTAAAGAAGCACTTTTTTCCTATTACCTACCTGTTTCTCTATTGTCTTCCTGACATAATCTTTTTTCTTTAGTCATCCCATTTTCACCAGTCCTGGACACACCAGCAGTAGAACAGACACAGCAGTGGAGGCAGCAGATCCTTGTGTGGGGGCAAAGAAGAGTGTGAGAGGGTATACTGGATCCACTGATGAAGGATCCATAACATGGAGCTGCACCCTAATTTTCAAGAGGATCCTGCATTTTTGTGTCCATTCAGACAACTCAGAGGCTACATGCAATACTCAACGCTGCCTAGGTTAGACACCCACAGTGCTGTCTTCCCAGCTAGAGTAATCTGTTCATCCTCTTTCTTCAGTGTTCCCTTACCCCTCATCTTCAACTACTGTCTGCCTGAGAGGCAGAGCACAATGACACCTTGTCCAACTGGCCATCAATGAGATGAGCTGCCACAGTGCTCTGACATCCCCTGCACCATTCCTCCTTCACACCTGCTCTTTGCCAGGCTCTTTCACAAGGCACACCTTCCTTGGGCCTCTCCAACAATCCTCCATCAAATTGTCCCTAAAAGTCTAGGGGCCAGGACACCCACCTTCTTCAGCATTTCTGCCTTGCTCCATCACGCACAACCCAGCTTGGATTTGTGCTGTCCCCCAAGGCCAGAGAAGCAGACCTTCCTCCACCCCCACATCAGTCCCCTGCCTGGATCAGACAGCTCGCCTGCAGCTGTGTGTGGCCTTGTCCCAGAAACTTTTATCCTAAAAATTTAGTAGAAGAGCAAAATACTTCCTTGATACCCCACTGTTAAAGTCAATAGAGTGACTCCAGGAATGAACTGAGCGCACTGGAAGAGGAAAAATTTGAGCGAAGTAGAAAATAAATAAGTAATTTCTCTAGAGATATTTAGACACACACACGCACATAAAGTCAGATTTTGAAATTTAATTTGCTTGTGAATGGCGCCGAACAGATTCAGTGTGGTTGCTTGTGTAGATGTGTCCCCTAAACAGTAACTCAGAGCACAGAGAATAACATTCGTTCATGCATCAACATTTTTGAGTTAAGATACTTCTTTATTCCAAAGATTGTTGATTAGCCCCCTTTCAAACTCAGTATCCACTGTCTGCTCCTTACGTGAATCATGTTCGGCGCAGGACGTTGCTGATGCTTTGTCACAAACAACCTAGGAATAAAAAGATCGGCATTTCAGTTATTTTTCCTGCATCTTGTTAAAAAACCTACTAGGAATTTTGAAGAAACCTAATGCATAAATACATATTTTGTCTGATTCGATAGCATATACAATTCAAATGACACTGCATTAGAAAATCAAGGGCCTGCTGTTATTCACCAACACATTAAATACGAGCGATTTACTTCTTTACCTTGACATTAGTCAGAGGGCCAAATCACAAAATGATGCAACATCACTTAACTGCCTGCCCCACCTTCCCCCCAACAAGCAAACAGAAAGCTACTGACCGCTCTAATACCAAATGCTATTTCTTTAATCTTATCAACCATCATCTCTTCTGAGCCGTGAGGACAATAAGAGATTGGTATTAGCAATCTCAGCCCTTCTCAGACTGTTGGAGGCTTGCATATCTTAACTGATGTGCCTAATTAGATACAGCAGTGATTCAGCCTTCAGCTGCGGTTCTGTGGTGCTGCTTCCAGGGTGCATCGGCGTGCTCTGCATCACCCCGTGACTGAGGTGTTTACTCTTCATCACAATTGCTGTTATCTGTCAGAAGTGATACCAGACTGCTTTCCAAAGAACACCACTCCTTCCCTTATTTATATGGAAGTACTTTCACCAGGAGCAAGTTATCTTTGACTGAATGTTATTCCAGTGGAAGATAATAGCCTGGAAATCTTGGTGTCTTCCAGCCCTGGACAGGAAAGTCTGCTGAGCTTTCCTGGGGTGTCACAGAGGAACACTTTGGCACATTATTCATACTCCAAGCCTGCTCACTCTGCTTAGTGACATGGAAAGCTCTGTCTCATAGGTTGCAAGCTTGTGAATTCTTATGTGCCATTAACTAGATGACATATTTTTGCTTTTTCCTTCTCCTCTCCTCTCCTCTCCTCTCCTCTCCTCTCCTCTCTTTTCTCTTTCACCTTTTCTTTTTTACATTTTATTTTCTTTTATTTTAGATGGAATGACTTTCAGCATCTAGCAGTAAGAACTAGAGA